CCTTAATCTCCAAATGGCTCGTGGTGGCCACCCTTCCCTAACCAGCTGGGGGAGGTGGAGGGAGGGGCAGTGGCTACTTACCAATAAGGTCCAGGAAGGAGAGGCTGATCAGTAAATTAGCAGCCCAGTTAAAGCTGTTACAGAAGGCAAAGGCTCTTCCTCTTATCCCAGCAGGGTAAATCTCACTGAGGACCAGCCAGGTCACTGCACGGATTAGAGAGATCAGAAAGACAGTGTGGGAGTTCAGCAATCAGTCTGGTTGGGAAATGGGCAAGGGAGGTTTCAGCAGGTGGATTAAACTCTGGCTTCACCCAGCCCCTGCTGCTGCTGGTGGTGTCAAATATTCAGAGACAGGGCACAGCACAACACTCCAAACCTCCCTCCCATGGTCAGCACTCCAGGAGGAAGGAAACAGCAAAGAACAGGCCCAGGGAGCGAAGAAGAAAGTGGAGGAGTCTGACATTCCATTCATAGGAGATGGAATAGATCTGACAGACCTGCTGTCCTCACATGCTCTTTGTAAGGAAATGAGAAAGGGCAGAATTAGGGAGACAACACTGCATTTGGGCTAAAATCAGGGTTAAAGCAATACATGCCTTCAAGAACCCCCTCCTATCCTGGGCTTATTTAGCTTGAAATAATTTGCAGGGTCACTGTCAAACCCACGAGACTTGCCCACTTATATATTTCTCTTGAGTTAGATGCTGTTTTCTCCCATCAGGGCATTTAAATGTCAGAAAATAGTAGAGCTCACATGGAAGCAAGACCTATTCTTTAATCCCATCTGATGAAAAATAATGATTTCACAAACAAACAAACAAACAAAAAACCCAAGAAAACAACCAAACAGATACTGAGAAACTTTCAAGGAGGTTCCACTTCCAGTTCTGCACTGACTTTTATTATTACACAGCGAAGCCCCTCAGTCTCTCTGCCCTTAGCCTTCATTTTTTCTCCTCCCCAGGAGGGGTGAAGCGCTTATGGGATACTCTGATTTTGCAATGAACTTCACAGAAAAAAAAAAAAAAATAGAAGGGTAGTGATAGCATGGAAGAGGAAGTTATTCTAGTGCTGTACCAGCCCTCTAGTTGGCAGAGCTGCAGTGCTGGAAAGTGATTCAGTGGGCAGATGGGGACACATTTCCAGCTCCCAGACACCGAGCTGCTTGCTGCAGCAGACACACAAGGAACGTTTCCAGCAGGCAGCCTGCAGGTCAGCCCTAGTTTTATTCTCTGGGTTAGTGCAAGGATATGTAAACACCACACTTACTTGGCCCAAATCCAATTGAGAAGGCGCTCACGAAAGCCATCATGCTCAGCAGTGTAATCCAATTTAAGACCGTGTGCTGTGCCCAGGGAGCATCAGCGGGAGGAGGGCCCGTGCTTTCCACTGTCCCTTGACCTACCAAGTCCCTTTTCTGCATGAGGGAAGAACTGGGAACAACCTCTTTGCTTTGAGTACTGGCAAAAACTTCTGTGAGGCTCCTTGTGACGGGGGCTGCCCGGCTTTTGACGGCACCTGATGCTGGTGGGATGGGTGACGCAGCAGACTGGGGGAATGCAGAAGTCAGGGGGTGCTGAGAGAGGCTGAGGGATGCATTGGGGTGGGTGGGTGCCTTGCAGTCCCTGGCCATGGCCAGCGGGGCCACGCGGCTGGTGAGGCCGATGGTGGTGACCGAGATGGCCATCACCACACAGCCAGCCATGAGCAGCACTCTCCTGCCAGCCTTGTCTGCCAGGGCCATTGCGACCAGCGTGGCCACCACCTTTATCGCTCCCAACCCGACTGAGGCCAGGATTGCCGAGGAGTTGCTCTGGAATCCCACCGAGTGGAAGATTTTGGAGGCGTAGCCCAGCACGTTGGGCTGCCCGGTGAACTGCTGGAAGAGCACCAGTCCCAGACCCACCAGAGTCCGCCTTCTCATGTTGTCTCTGGTCCTGAAGAGGTCGAGGAGTGAGTAACGATTCTCCTGACAGGGCTCCCGCTTTGCTGCCTCTCTGTCCTCAGCGTCCTGCAACGGAATGAGGCCCTTCTGGCAGTCCGAGTCCCACGAGCTTAATTTCATGGGGTTCACTGGGAGGAAGAGGATGCTGAGGAACTGCATGGCTGTCGGGGCGATGGCCAGCCCGAACATGTACCTCCAGCCCCCCTCCACGTCGGCAAAGACGTAGTTCAGCGCGTAGGACAGCAGGATGCCCCCGGTGATGCCGGTCTCGTAGAGAGACACCAGCAACCCCCGCCGGTGAGCAGCCACCATCTCTGAGACGTAGATGCAGCAGGCCATGGACGAGATGGAGATGGCAAAGCCCACGGTCACCCGCCCGGTGACCAGCACCGTAAATGACCTGGCCAGCGTGAGGACGAGGCTGCCGGCCAGCAGGACCACGTTGCTGACCAGGATCGCTCTCCTCCGGCCGTGCCGGTCAATCAGCACCCCCCCAGCCAGGGAGGCCAGGAGCGCTCCGATGAGGACGGCGCTCACCACCACTTCTTGCTTGAAGCAGCTGAGCTGAAAGTCCACCTGCAACTGCAGCAGCGCACCAGAGATTATGCCCAGCTCGTACCCAAAGATCAGCCCGCCCAGGAGTGACACCGTTGCGGACAAGAGTAGGACCATCGCTGCATGACCTGGAACACAAGGAAGTAATGCTAAGTTCAGTTTTCTGACGCTGGCAGGGCAGCTATCAGCATGCACAGGCCGGAAAAAGCTCTCCCAGGACACCCCCAGCTTTCCATTTACAAAGCCACGATGTGGAATTCCCCCACTGGTCACCAGGTCACACGTAGAGAGGCACCTGCAGACAGTCACACAACCCACCAGGCTTCCACTCACCGCGGGGGCACTCACTTGGCGTGCAGAACTGGGAAATCAGGACTTTGTTAACAAAGTTAAGATGTGTTTTTAAGTGGAGGGCAGTGATTTGCAGTGCCTGGAGTTGTACAGGGGGACCTCTGTGGTCTCCCTTGATTGAAATTACAAAACCTGTTCTGGGCAGGAAATGCAGCTTCTGCTTTCAGGTTGTGAGTTGTTCTGCATTATCATTTTTCATGTTTCAGTGCACGTGGCACCACCAGCTCTCCCTGCAGCCTCTACATTCTCACTTCTTACCTTGGCATTAAAAGCCCTGTTCACAAAAGTTTCTTTCTCCCAGTTAATCCTGCACTCTTGCCAGGATTTTGTGGGGTGGCCCTGATTTCTTCACCTGCCCTTCTACAGCCCACAGCTCACAGGATCCCCGAGCCATGCACAGCCTCCTCAGACTGGTCCAGGACCACAGGACAAGCTTCATCATGAGCTGAAAACTTCACTGTTGCCAGCCCCAAATACAAGAAGCCACTTTTTGACCTTGCCCATCCCATACAAGTTTAGCTAAAATTAAATTTTAAAAAAAATAAATAAAAGCCAGCAGCAAAAGCAACCAAAACCAACCCAGCCCAAACAGCTCTACAAAACCAAGGTGCTGCCTGAACGTGCTTCTCACCACGGGGAAGGGATGAAAGGGTGACAGTGTGAGAACCATGAGCCATGTTACAGCAGCAGGGATTGCACTGGCGTGAGAGCCAGCACTGATGGAAGGATCTCTGGGAACAGCAGTGGCAGTGACCTCCCCTCCAGTTACAGTTCTGAAGCACAGGTAGAGTGCATTAGCTCTGAGGTTTGTGCTGGTTTCCAGCATGTAATTCTATCTGTACTCTTTTGTTTAATTATAAATATTCACATTTTCTGTAGACTGCATGTGGAAAAAATGTGGACACAACCACCAGACCGTGGAAACTTTTCTCACCCTGCCTAAGGGCTTTTTTCCCCCCTCACAAGCTGTGTTTAATAGGAAGTGTCTCTGCTTGGCCTTTAATTACAGCTAGCAATAAAGATTTCTCAGTGATGGCCGTACATAAATACAAATGTTTATGTTTATTCTGTAACCCTCTGTGTTTCAGTTGTTACTTACGCCATCCCAGTTACCCCAGTCCCTCTCACCACGCTCTGTGTGACCACCCACACTGTTTTTAGCACTCCTTGCACACATTATGCAGATAATTAGAAAATTATCTGCTGAGAACAAAAGGCTTAAGTGCCCATCCCATTGTTCCAAGCCACAAATTCTGCTAGACACAGAGAGTCCCACTATAAATACCACAGCTGATTTCATCAGGTTTTGCTGCATTTCTTGTTAACGTAATGATCAGTCATGGTTTATGAACTTTGACTGAAATCCAGTTTCTATACAGTCTGTTCTGACACAGCTGGGAAATTCGAGGACTCAGATCTCCACCTGAGGACAGAATGTTTGGTGGATCTCGGGAGGAGCTGTGGCAGGCGATTCCCTGCCTATGGCAAACTGGGCATCGGGCCGTGCTCCGGGACGGGGCAGTGACCGCCAGGCTGGGACTGGGCTGATTTTGGACTCTGCTCACACCAACGCCAAGACCAGCGAGTGCCGGACCGCTGCCTCCAGCAAACCCCGCTCCATAGCAAATCCCGGTCCCTCCACACTCCTTGTACCCCGCTCTCCCTGCCGCCGGAGCGCTCCTGGAATGGCCCCAGGACCGAGCCGCAGGAAATTCCTTGGCTCTCCTGCTCGCTGTGCGTGCCGCTGGGAGCGCTAAAAAAAAAACCAAACCCAAACCCGAAACAACCCCAAAACCAAACCAGAAAGAAAGGAAGGGGCGTGGGATGCAGCCCCAGCCTTTAGGAAAAGTTGAAAACTTTTCTCTTCTTCCTTTCGGGAACTTTTTCCCCGAGGGGGCAGAGCGCGCCCGTCCCAGCCCGGGGGTGGGGAGGGGAGAGGGGGCCCGCCCGTCCCCGGAGGGGCTGCGGCAGCAAAACCTGATGATCCCTCTGCGCCCCCCGCCCGGCCCCGGCCGCACTCACCCATGGCCCGGCGGGGCTGAGCCCCCCGCGCTCCGCGGCTGCGGGAGCGGAGCGGGGCCGGGAGAAGGAGCGGGGCCGGGAGCCGGAGCGGGGCCGAGCCACGTCGCTACCGCCCTGCCCCCGGCCGGGCAGCCTGGGGCTTGCAGTCCCCGGGCCGGGGCAGCCGCACCGCGCCCGGCAGCGATGGCGAGGGCCGGGAGCGGGAGGCTGATCCCGCGGGATGGGTGAGCCCGGAGGGCAGCGGGGCTGGGCGTGGGATCTCCCGCGGGAGGCTGCGGGGTGGCCGGGGGCGCTTTGCGGGGGTACGCGGCTTGTCGGTCTAGGAACGAGGATGTGGCTTTCGTGGCTGGAATGACAACTCTGTCCCCGTTCTGTCTCGCTCGAGCCAGGAACGGGAATCTCCTCGCTGCCTGCTGACCTGCTCTTGTGCAGAGCTTCTCCCCCCCACCCCAGACGGGAAAGCCTCTAGTAAGCCCCCAAGAGATTGACAGTTTATTAATGATTTGAGGTAGCTCAGCTGGAAAGCCCAAGAAGCCTGATAGGAAAGGGGTGACCATTTCAAAGCTAAAACTAAAAGAGCAGCAGGGGAGGTTTGGGTTAGATATCAGGAAAAGGTTCTTCACCCGGAGGGTGGCTGAGCAGTGGAACAGGCTCCCCAGGGAAGTGGTCACTGCATCAAGCCAGATAGAGTTCAAGAAGTGTTTGGACAACACTCTCAGGCACATGGTGTGATTCTTGGGGTATCCTGTGCAGGGCCAGGAGATGGACTCGATCCTGATGGGTCCCTTCCAACTGAGCACATTCTGTGATTTTGTGATTCTGTGATTTTATGACTAAGTTTGCACTCTTAACTTTCACTGATCTCCTTCCCCTTGCACAGTGCTCCATCAGACAAAGCATTTCAGTATTCAGCTTCCCTTGCAATTAACATTTTTTTTCTGCTGAGTGGAACAGGAACCTTCCTGCTGTCCTGCATAAAAGTCACTGGGGCTTGCACTTGGATACAAGATTTTTTTCCTGAGGCTAATTACGTGTATCCCAAAGTTCAGTTTGTTAAACGAGGGTTTTAAAAACCGTGATACACCTTGAAGTGCTTTCAAAACTCTTCACCACAATATGCAAACATTCTCCCTTGGTGGTGTTCATGCAAACAGCAGCTGCTGGGCGGGTTGAGCTGTGCTGAGGTGCACGAGATGTTCAGAGGTTTGCTGTGACCCAGCTGGCTTGGGGACCAGCGAGGGAAGATGTGGTGTCACAGGTGGGAAGGCAGGAACAGCCTCCCCAGAGCCATCCAGCAGGGACTGCCACTGAAGGGGAGGTGGAAGTGACTGCGAACCTGCACTGTGAGCTGGCATGTTACTGCAGGTAACAGTTCATTTCAGACTTGTATTACAATTTTAATATTTAATATGTTATAACCACACAGGTTTCAGAACAGCAGTCAAGCTTTTTGTCACAGTACAAAGCTGAATTGGGGAAGGTCTGCATCTGTGACCATCGTGTCTGTGGTGCAGGCAAACCCCTCTGACACAGGCCAAAATAAACAGGTTGGGTGAAGAATAAAGAACACAAGAACCTGTGATTTTTTTTTTTTTAAGAGCCTTTTCAGTCACCCCACGTTTTGACTTAATAGGGCACTTAAGAGAAATATTTAAATAATCATTATTATTCTAAGAATGGGGATACATTTCTTTCTCTGCTCTGCAGAGCAGTGGTACCAACTCTTTTTTTTGTTCCAACTCATTTTGGGATGCTTGAGATGGGCCATACTGGATCACATGTATCCTTTCAGCGTTAATCTGTTGGATCTCTGGCTGCAACATGGGCAGCAGTTGATCAAACATTTTGGTTTTGTTCCTTCTCCAAGTTACAGAGAACATGAAAAGCGTTTCAAACCATCTATCTGGTTTGCAGGTTAAATAAATGCTTTCCATTCATATCCTCTAATTTCAATGGAAATAAAGTATGTAAAAATACATTTTCTAAAACCTTGCATCTGATTCAGACTGACATTTTGGGTGAGCTGTGCTGTGAATTGGAGGTGTCACCCATGAATGGTTCCCTGCTACGCAGGGAGCCAGAGGGGACCCAGAGTCAAACCCACCCTTGGCTGCTTGATCTGCAGTTTCCCTGAACAATTCCTTCCTTCTGAATTTAATTCAGTGTGAAAAGGAAGAAATGACACCTTTCTCCATGGTCGCTCAGCTTTCATTTATCTGGAGTGTTATTCATTTTCTGGAGGCTTCCTGGTCTCTAACAGAACAAGAGTTGTTATTAGCACAGACAAGAAGGGGGTGAGGTCCTGAGGAGCACAGGCAGAGCTTTATGGTGTGTTTACAAAAGGTGGCCAGAAAGGTGACATCAGTATGTGCAGAAGAGCAGCTGCCACGTCGACACTGCGCGTGGCTGTGGGTTCTGGTCGTCTGGGAACAAAGGTGCAAACCTGCTGTGGTGTACAGCAGGGATAATTTGGGGTGGTGGGGGGGAAAAAAAAATCTTCCTTTGTGGTTTTTAAAGCACACCTTTCTTATCTAACATTTGTGATCAGTGGGTATCCTGGGCCTGCTGAAGTCAGTGCCTTTGTCCTGAAGCTCCACACATGAGAAGGTCTGGAGTGGCGGATCCACCAACCCTTCGTGTGTGCCGGCACGTTTCTATCCTGGCTCTCTCCTTCGATGCCTTCCTCCTTCTCCTCCCCTCCAGATGTGTCTCAAATTCACCTTTTCCCATCTGAGCTCTGAGGATGGCAGCCTCCATCCTTAAATCAGCTGTAGGGTTGATGGGAGAGCTGCTCGTAGGGCCAAGGGTTCCACAGGACAGCAGGGAGGAAGGAGCCCACCTTGGTTTCCATTAGCTTGGTTTGCTGAGCCGCAATTTTTGATTTAATTACATTGTTTGCCAAAGGAGAGTTTGTAAACGCTTGTCACCAGGAGAACAAAGTTACATAATTAAACTATTTAGCAGAGTCTGTGGCTTCAGTGCAGTTCTCTGGGGTGATTCAACCTTCCAATAAAAATACTGTGTGATACCATAAATATTGTAAATGGCTCTAGATGGTTTCCAAGGGCTATGTCAACTGCTTTTTTTTGCGTTCAAAGAGAAAAGAAGAAGTGAAATCACGGGGAAGATAAAATTTAAATAAATAAAATAAATGGGAAAACAAAGCAAAAATATTTTCGTTCGTCTTTTGAGAGCTCTGGAGGATGTTTTTGGCCAGCATGAGAGAAGATTGTCATGTTTACCAGAATAATGAACCAAGGGTGTCTCTGTGCACTTGCTTATAGGTTATATATGAGTGTCTGTGGGGGCATCTGAGCACGGATGCTTAGATAAAATCTGCCCACAACATGGGGAAAACCTTTCTCGTTATTTGAGTGTTTGTGGCACTTGCAAATTCCAGCCACAGAGCCCAGGAATGCACCTGTTTCCCTGGCCAAGCTGCCACAGCGAGGGCAGCTGAAGGAGGATGCCACGGGTGGCCAGACTGGAGGGATTGGATTATCTGTATCATTGAAAACTTGGAGAGGTTGTTTAAAAGTTGTTACTGAAGCAAGATAAATATTTGCCGGGCGTGATCCCACCGTGCAATGACAAGTAAGCTGTATGGAATGTGGTAATAAAATATAAATGCTCTGAAAAGGAAACAAATGTTGTGGATGTGAAAACAAGGGCAAAATGGACTTGTGGCACCTCCAAAAGCAACAACTGAAAACATATTTACATGGACTGGGCTGAATTCTCTTGCATATCTTCTGAGGAACGTAAACTGCAGCATGTGCAGATCAGCCAGTAGAGCAGTGGGTTTTCAGGGTGCCATAAAAACCCAAATACTGCTCCAAATATAATGGGTTTGTCCACCTTTTACTAAGATGGAGATGTGGGGCTTGACTGCTCAAGGAAGGGGGAGTCACCTGGCTGACTGAGTGGGCTGTGACAGACCTGGGGCGGCAGCTTTGGTGCTGCCCAGCGTGGGGACCTGAAGTCACACCATTCCCTACTGCAGGCTGGCAATTCCCTGCAGCCCATGGGCAAATCCCTTCTCTTCCCCAGCCAAAAACGGGGCACGGGTCTGCACGGGCTCCAGCAGAGGCTTTTGGCACATGAAGGGCCAAGAGCCAGTGGTGGCTCATCCCGGTGCTGATGTCATCGTGGTGATGTCCCAAAGGTGGAGCATCCTGGTGGTGTTTTCCCGGTGATGGGGGGATGATGGCCCAGTGATGGGGTCCCTGCGGTGATGCCCCAGTGGTGGAGCATCCTGGTGTTGTTGTCCTGGAGGTGGTGTCCCAGGGGTGATGCCCTGGCAGGGGGCTCTAGGGTGGCACTGGGAACACCTCGGAGGGGAAACACGAGATCCCATCTGCTACTTTGGGAAGACGCACATCCAGCATCTCCCTCGCAAGCCCGGGGGCAGCTGCCGGACTCGGTCTTGCACTGGCAGAAACACAGAACGCACCGGCTGGGGAAGGCTCAGGAACGAGTCCCACCATCCTGCAGCTGCTCAGGGCAGCAGGATTTATGGGGAGCAAGCACAGAACGGGGTTTTGGAAGAGGCAACACCGCGATCCCCAGGGGCAGGGCGGCGCGGGGCGCGTCACAGCGGGGGCGGGGCGGGGGCGGGGCTTGGGGCGTTCGGCTGTTTCCGCCCCGGGGAACCGAGCGCTGACGGAGATGGCCGGAGATCACCGAAGGTTCCCGAGCGTTGCCGAAGCGGCGCCCCGCGCAGGCGCGCTGTGGCGGCGCGGCGATGGCGGCGGCCCAGGCGGAGGCGGGCGGGGAGCCCTCAGTGCCGGCCGGGCCCGCCGCGGGCGCTGTGGGGGCCGCGGGCCCCGCCGGGAACCACCGCGAGGCCGCGGGGGAGGGAGAGGAGCTGTCGCCGCCGCCGCTGCCGGGGCTGCGGCTGGTGCAGCAGGGCGCCGAGGCGCACGTGTACCGCGGGCTGTTCCTGGGCCGCGCGGCCGTGGCGAAGCTCCGCGTCCCCAAGCGCTACCGGCACCCGGCGCTGGAGGAGCGGCTCAGCCGCCGCCGCATGACACAGGAGGCGCGGTCGCTGCTGCGCTGCCGGCGGGCAGGTGGGCACGGGGAGAGGTGGTGGTGGTGGTGGGGCTACCCCGGCAGAACGGACAGACAGACGGACACCCCGGGGCGGTGTGAGCAGGGAGGGACAGATGGACACCCGGGGCAGCCCCCACAGGGCACATCCTGCAGTGCTCCCCGGCTCTGCCCGCGGCTCAGAGCACATCGCAGACACTCGGCGCCTCCAGCGCCCACCCTGAAGGGTGCGGGGGGTTCTTCTCATCCCGGGGTGACCCGCTCTGCTCGTCCAGATCAGCCCCTAAAACGCAGCTTGTCCTCGATGTGTCCCATAATGGGACTCTCACCCCAGGAGGAGCTGATCCTGTTACCCATCTGGAGCTGCCAGCAGGTTATAAAGGCTGCCGGTGCAGATGGGTCGGGAATAAGTGTTGGCAAGGCCCTTCCAAGATGTGGATTGGCAGAGGCCGGGGGTGATCTCAACCCGAAATTCTGTTCGAGACTTTTATTGGTTGTGTTTTGGGAATCATGTAAATTAACTGTTAGCATTTGATTTGCCCTTTTAAATAGGGATTCCAGCTCCAGCTGTCTACTTCGTGGATTATGTCACCAACTCCATATATCTTGAAGATATCGTAGACTCAGTTACAGTTCAGGATCATATTTACTCTGTCCAGCGGAGTGGAAATGATGCCAGCAGCCTCCAGAGCTTAGCAGAGAAGATGGGTGAGCTGTTAGCAAGGATGCACGATGAAGATATTATCCACGGGGATCTCACAACTGCCAATCTCCTCCTGCGGCCGCCCCTGGAGGAGCTGGACTTGGTGCTGATAGACTTTGGACTCAGTTTTATTTCAGGTCTTCCAGAGGATAAAGGAGTTGATTTGTACGTTCTGGAAAAAGCCTTCATTAGCACTCATCCAGATACTGAAGTGATGTTTAAAGCTCTGCTGAAGAGCTATGCAGCCACATCTAAAAAATCCGGTCCTGTCATCAAAAAGCTGGATGAGGTGCGGCTAAGGGGAAGGAAGAGATCCATGATTGGGTAGGAGAGGGCAGGCTTAGGGATGGGGAAATCTTACGTTCTGCAAATAGGGTTATTTATATTTCTAGGTGGTTTTATTTCGCATATCGCTATTTTGATAACTGTGTCTTCAAATAAATAACTCTGAATGAGTTTAAGTGTGGTAAAGCAACCAAAGTAATTGCGAGATGGGAGCACAGCCGAGAGAGAAACAACTGAAGGTCACTTTTTTCCTAAACGTTAAGTATCTCTTCTACAAAGCGGTTTGCAGTGTCATTCCACTCGTGTTCTTTGTGTGGTTAGAATCATTCAGAGGCATCTTGCTCAGCCTGCAGACCATGAATTGGTGGGAGGTTCTTACTGGGGGTACTGGAGCATCTATAAAAGGTAACTGAGAAAGAGAAGTGTGTTATTTTAATTAAAAGATGTGTTATTATTCTCAGAAGACTTTACAAACAAGGCATTTAAATCCATTATAAATTACTCTACACATGCTGAAAATTTTTGGGAGACCTGAATTCCAGGACATGGGCAATGCTGAAATACAGCACTAAACATAACCCAGGTTTATTTTCTTTTGGTAGTAATTTTGGCTTTTTTTCCCCCTTTCAGTCCATAGTACTTCCTCAAGAAAATAAAACTTGTTAATCAAGAACACTTTTTTGCTGAGAAACTTCCACTTTAAGCAAGAAGTCAGCTGTGAATTTCCATTTGTGGCGCTTTATAAGAGGGACTGCCCAATTGACAGAGGCAGGTGGTACTACCCTTTCTTGTAATATTTCCTCTGTATCAGTTCTTTTTCTGGGTTACTCTGTCTAATGTGAAATGTCAGATGTCCTAGAGGAAAAGCCTTGGGGAGGTTGGAAGATAATTGGCTCTCTGCACTATGAGCAGATTGGGAGGTGAGTTGTGCCCTCGCCGAGTGCGTGAGATTCATCATTTACTGCAGGTAATGATGGGAAAGAAACAGTGAGCTCCTCCCTGAACCATTTGCTGTGCTGGGCAGCCTTTACCCATCGGGAAGATCCTCTCTTCTCTGGCTGAAGATGGCTAAGAGGGAGCGAAGTGTGCCTCACCCCTCCGGATCCGTGGATGTGTCCTGTACGAATCAGGATCCGTGGATGTGTCCTGTACGGATCAGCATCCGTGGAGGAGAAGGCAGCTGCGCGAAACTGCTCTGCCAGGCAGGGGAGAGAGTTGAGGGCTTCTTCCTGCGCGCTGAGAGCAACCCCAGCGCAGGAGTCTGGGCTGGCGGGACCCGCTCGGGGCTCTTCTCAGGAGCGGAGCGGGGCGGGCGGGTGGCGCTGCGAACCACAGTGTGCCTCGGCGGGTTTATCCTCGTTCCTCGCGGTGGCGCCGCTGCAGCGCTGCCGCTCCCTGTCTCTGGAGTGCCCGGTTCGCCTCCCGCAAGTGTCCTAGCGCGGCGGGCTGCCCGTGCCCGGCGCGCATTCACCTCTTGCCAGAGGAGCCGCCTGGGCGAGTGCCCGGCCCCGGCGTGGGGTTTGCGGGTTCCACCGCCCAGCCACATTCCTTGGGCTGCCGCTCGCGGCCAGCCCGTTTTTATTATCGCTCGCTCCCGCGAGGGAGAGCGGCATGTTCGTGCAGGGAGCAGCGAATGCTCTCCTGCCTTCCTGGAGAGCGACTTCCCAGCACACGGTCACTCGGACCGGGCTGATGGAGAGGGGCCTCGCGGCGTGGTGGGAGCAGGTGGATGGATGCAGAGCTGACGAGCCCCCTAAGGAGGCTGAGCCGAGCCCCCCGTGCCAGAGGAGGCTGCACGCCCGAGCTCCGGGCCCGCCGGCACCATCTGTACAAACACTGCTCTCGCTGCCTCCCGGCGATGCCAGGGTTGAGTTCTGTTTGCAAAGCCCTTTGAAGAAGCCTGTTCCTGACTCTCGTGGTGTTTATTAAAATGCAGCTCTCCCCGCGGGACAGCAGAGCAGAAACAAAGCTGATCCGCGGGGAGCTTTCAGGGCAGGCACGGTGCTCTGAGCCGGGGCCGGCAGCCCGTGGCGAGGCCAGTCCTCTCGGGGAGCTGGTGCGTGGGACTGGCCTTCGAGCAGCGACTGCTGAACTGGCCTCTGCTGAAATCAGCTCTGTGATGGAGCTTCAAAACAAAGCAGAACTTCACTGGTCATGAAAAGCAAAAATGTTTTGCTTTCTCACTGCATGATCAACTCCTTCCCGTTATGTAAGTGTTACTTTCTGCACATCTGTGTTATGGCTTGTTGATGTTTCCTCTTGATCAGCCCGATGTGTGGTTTGGTTTGTTGTAGTGAATGCTGAGCTGTTGCTGTTTGAGGATGGAAAAATCTCAGCGGGTGCTTGTCCAGCAAAGAGGACACTCTAGACCTGCAAATTGCCCACCCCACGTCTTCTTGCAGCCTCAGCTGTATCACTCCACCAGTCCATCAGGAGGTGGACTCGATGATCCTTGTGGGCTCCTTCCAACTCAGGTTACTCTGATTCTGTGCCTGCAGCAGCAGTTCACTGGATGAAAACCTCTGCTTCTCTGGATGGTTCACAGGGCCTGTGGAGTTTCCAGTCTTTGTTGGACTGGGAACAGCCTGATATACTGCTGTGTTAACCTTCCATGCATCTATGTGGTCATAAGCAACACTTTATTATTAGTATTATTAATATTTATTGTTATTATTATTATCCATTGCATTATTAATACTCAAGCTTAAAGTCCAGTGCATGTCTATTCTCATAAAGAAAATGGGATTCCTATTTTCTTCTCTTGTTTCACATGAATAGTGAAATGCTTTTGAGGGGACCCTGAATCATGGGATGTGATGGCTCACGGTGCACCCAGCCACTGGGGGTCTCTCTGCCACCATCACTAGCACTGGGAAAATGCATATGTTTAGGGAAAATCTTTGAACAGAAGGTATTTACAGCTGTGTGCTGGATGGACAGTTGGTCACTCTGGGTCCTTCTGCTGCTTCAATCTTTCCACTTTGAAGAACAGATTGTTGTCTCGGGGGACCAACTCCAGACCTGCCAGGAACAGCTTCATTTCCAGGGGCTTCCACTCTGTGGTGGGCCTGGGAACCAGCTTGCAAGCTCATGGATACCAAACTGACTTTAATTTGGGGTAATGATGCTAATCTGTGTTTTGCCCACTGATGCCAAGAGGGCAGAACTGAACTAAGGGGATTTTTCGAGATAAATATGAGTTGTAGACCTATAGGAGAACTAAGAGGAAAAAGAGACATGAAAAGAAAAATCAAAACACATACAAGCAAGGAACAGGGATGAAGATGCTGTTGCATAATCTGGGAATGCTGTTGCCTTGACTTTTGGACAGTGGCAGCTCTGTGCCCATAATCACTGTGTGTAGATATAAAAACTGTGCAGACAGGCTCTATGCTGTAGCTTTTTCCAGTGAACTTTTTTTTCAGTCTAGGCCTTGATGTCTGCAGGAAATTGATATTTTCCAGTTTTGCAAGATGCAAAACACTGATAACCTTTTGCAGCCCTCCTCTCCCATCAGTGCTGATAGGAAATCAAGTCAGTGCAATAAAAGCTCATTTGTAACCCAGGCTTCACTCCGTGAGGGTCACTACAGATAAATAAAGCCTCTCCCTGGCCCAAGCACAAACCGTGTCCCACAGTGGTCCCTTGGGCCACTATGCAGCACCTCTTTCTTTTGCTAATAAATCAAATGTACTTTAAGTAGCAGAGAACAATGGCCCAGGAGTGCAGTGAGGTCTGATCCCAGTGATGGCCACGGAGCACAGGGAGGGCACAGCCAGGGCAGCTGCAGCCACCGCTGGCACTGGAAATGGGGCTGATAGAGATGGAGCTCACAAGAAAACACATTAATTATACATTTTTTCCCAGCTGAAGTCCAGGAAGGCCGAGTGAAGCAGCATGTAGCCCCTGCAGAATGTGCTCGGCTGGGAAGCACTGGAGGCTGAGCCAGCATCCACCCTGCTGAGCCGAGAGGGGCCGGGTGGGATCGGAGAAGGGACTGTCCAGGCGGGGACGTGACTTGTGTCTTGGAGGGGAATGTGCTGCCGGTCCCCTTGCCCCCCCACACTGCCAGAAGCCTGTATCCTCACAAGAGAAGGAACAGACTGTGACACTGGCAGCTTATCGTTCTTTGGAAGCTTTTTCTAACTGATTTTGAGAGAAGAAGTTTTGTCGAGCTCCTTTGCTCCGGCATGTGACACACACTCATGCATGGCCTCCCAGCCCGTGGCTCAGGGGTATTTTGGGTAAGCTGAACCTGTTTTAGGCAGTTCCAGTGTTTTAATGGCCTCAATTTTGCTTTCAGGTCATCAGCCAGCCACCCATCTGCCCACCCTCTCCATCACACACCACTACCCGAGTGAGTGATGAAGCCGCTTGTGCTGTCCCAGCCCACTGTAGTGGCACTGAGGCGGCACAGCAATCTCCTCTTTTGTTTTTTTTTTCTTTTTTTTATAGTCATGATAACTTCTTATTCATGTTGCTGAGCAGTTCAAGAAAGGCAAGATAACCCCCCCCCCACGGCTCTCCCTGGGTTGGCACTCTGCTTTCCTGGCAGAAGGAGGGTGCTTTGCCAGCGGGGCCGGGCGCCAGGCGGATGCCGGATCCTGGCGTTGCCAGCGGCCCCCGGCAGTGCCCGGCAAAAGCCTTTGTGCCCGTTCTGCCATTTGAAAAGAGCCACGGTGCTGATGCCCTCACCCTTCAGCCCCTGCCCGGGGATTAACGGGTTTGTCGCTATTTGTGCAAAATGATATATGTGCTGTTAAGGAAAGGGAGGGGAATGGATCCAGATGCAGAGAAGAGTCCACTCAGACAAGGGCACAGTCCTGTCTCTGATCCTGGTTGTAACACCACACTCTTCCTCTCTTAACGTCTTGCCGCCTCTGTGCCAGTGATCCACGGCTTGCATAAAGTGGACAGACCTTTCTGGGGTCTTTTTTTTTATCCAATACATTTGACTCCAACTTCCTTGATGCTCTAGGAAGTAGAATCAAGGAGGAGCAACTCTTCAGAGAACTGATTGATTGTGAAAGGGAAGGGTTTTCCTGCTGAACGTGGGTTTTACACGTCTTTCATGTATACAGGGCCAATTTACCCAAGATTTCAACACCAAAGCACTCAAATACTGAAAGCACTCAAAGGATGCTGGTGAAGTGCTAAGGATGTTGTTTTGCTTTCCCACTTTTCTCCTCACCACCCAGCTTCACTGAGCCTCCAGCTGAGAGAATCCAGGCGATGCAAAAAGCAGGGAGAAAACCCAGCTCCCTTGACTTTGATCTCTTGCTCATCTTGATAGCGCAGCAGCCCTGTCTCCTGGGATGTTTGCTGCTCCCTGCAGTCAGGTGGAGACCAGCAACCTCCTCGGTGTTATCTGGGGTTCACCATGCTCCAGGAGAGGGGATCCTGTCCTGCCCCATCTGCTCCACATTTCCTTTCCTATCACCCCGATACAGGGCAGAGCTGGCAGGAGAACCCGCCCTCAGAGTTCAAATCGGGCAGTTTTTGCATTTTCTTTTTGACTTGTGATTGAAGCATCCTTAAGGTCCATCCTGATAGGACACCCAGGGGATAATCATATGCTCCTTGCTTGCTTGTGTGAGCCAAGGCTTTGCCTCCTGCTTTTCCGCTATTTCCCATGGCTCCATCCCGCTCCGCACCGCTGACCTTTTGTTTGGTTGTGTTCGCTTATTTTTAATGGGAAAAAAAAAAAAAAAAAAAAAGGAAGAAAGAAAAAGGCTGGGAAACTGTTGAGGTGGGCGAAAGGGTGGGATAAAAGGGGGGGGATGAAGGGGGGGTGTCGGGGATGGGGGCCGGTATAGTGGGGTGAACTGCGGTGGGGCGGTGCGGGGGCCCCTCCCGGGGCGGGGAAGGGCGGCGGGGGTCCCTCCCCTCGGGAGGGGGCTCCGCCCCGGCCGTTCCCGGGGGATAAAGGGGGTGCGCGGCGGCGGGCGCGGTGATGGGCGCGGGATGGCGGCGCTGGGAGCGCTGGTGAAGAAGGCGTGGAGCGTGCGGCGGTTCGTGGTGCTGCTCTGCGCGCCCCTGGCGCTGGTGCCCATCCTGCTCAGCCTGCCCGCCAAGGTACCGCGCCCGGGCACCCGCGGAGAGGGAGGGCACCCACCGGGGCCGTGGGTGGGCACTGCGGGATGGGGACACCCGCGGCGGGGCGAGCAGGGGGCACCGAGTGGGATGCACCGACCAGGGACACCGAGTGGGATGCACCGACCAGGGACACCGAGTGGGATGCACTGGCTGGGGAGGGGGCACCAAGCGGGGCCACGGACCAGGAGCACAAACTGGGGACCAAGTGTCTGACCCAGCGTTACACCCCGTGGAGCTCAGCCCCGGGGACGCGGACCGGAGGCACAGTCCGGGTGCTCTGTGCCACCTCTTGCCTCAGCTCGAGAGAGAGGATCGCCCTCCCGCACCCTCTCAGAGTGCGAATGGAGGGCGCATCCTGGGGTTACTTCAGATTTTTAGGGGCAAGAAGGGATTGATAGTGTGAGCTGTTTGTTGCTCATACAGACACTGGCAGGTGGAACGAACTTAGGGTTCAGCACCAGCTCAAGCTCAGTGGCACTAACTGGTATCGCTTGCTGGTCCCCTGCTGCCTTGTTGAAGTTTTTATTGGTGGTGCCCAAATGGCAGCTGGGGAAAGTGAGGAGAGGCAGGTCCATGGCCAGCACCCCCCGGAGGGGGGCTGGCAGAGCTGGGGTAGAAGGTGAGTGCCTGGCACTCTGAGACAGCCTGGCATCGCTGTCCCATCCCTTTGGGGTGAGAATGGCAGCGGGCAGAGGTGTGGGCAGGGGCAGAGGAACCTGCAGAGCTGGGGAGGAGGGTGCCTGTGCTGCAGGGCTGGGGAATGCCAGGGAGCCACGAGTGCCACCTTCACCCCTCTGGGTGACTCCTGGGGGGACCTTCGGTGCCGTGTCCGGAAAGGTTTTGTGAGGAAGATATTTGAGGGTTTTTTGTAGGCAAGGAAAGATGGTTCTTCTGTTAAGGTTTGTACTTTAGCATATGTGCAAGGCTGCACATTAAGCAACCTGTTGCAAAACTCTGCAGGCTGAAGGATTTTTGCAGCTGTCCCACATACACAGCCCTTGTGCACCAGGAGCCTCTGAGCCCTGTGTGGAAGTCCACGGGACAGTGAAGTCACTGTGGAATTTTGTGCCACTGACTTCAGAGCAGGCAGGATTTCACTCTTACCTTCTGACTCAGATCCATTTGAGAATGACAAAATAAGTACTGATTAGTACTTAGTGAATACAGGGTAGTTCAGGTGCTGTAAGGACACAAAGTTGGCACTGAGTCTGTACAGCGTTTGTCAGGTGAAACATTTTTAACTGAGATACAAAACAAACCTCCAAAATTAAAAAATAATATACAATGTTCGTGCTTTATTTAATGACACCATATATTAAAAGAGAAATTCCTTTGTTTTTCTATTTTACGTTTGTTTTTCTATTTTACGTTATTGGCCAGTTTCTGAATAGGACTATATTAAACATCTGCCTCAAAGAGCAGAAAGCACATTGCACAAGAGGTAATTAATTACTTTGCCAATTCATAAGTGGATAGATAATTACATTTCTTTTACAGTAACTGAACAAGTGACGTCAAGTGTATTTAATGGTATCTTGTTTGACTTTGGCAACTGTAAAATTGTGAGATATGGTTGGAGGGTGAGGAGATGCACTGATCATACAGGGCAGGCTTGTGTCTGGCCCGTGCAGGGACTAACTGTGACAATAAATCACAGATGAACTGGATGCTGTGGGAAGATCTGAGTGCTCTGTGCATTGACAGGAGTGTATAGTGTCACACAGGCTGTGGAAAGACTTGGGTGTTCAGGAAAGGGATTTCTTCACCTGTAGAGAGGAAAATGTCTCTGTGAGTGCTGTTCACACCCACTCTGCTCCTGCCATGAGCTCTGGGGTGCGATCCAGGGAGGACCTCATGCACAGTGCAGTCTGATCGATGCTGTTTTATCAAAGGAAAAATGGTGTTGGGACAGGGGAAATGTTTGCAGCTGAGGGGGTGGCAAAGCAACGGGGCAGGAAGGAGACCTTGGCAGGGCTGGCTGCTCTGCCACTGTCTTAAGGGTCTGTTCTTTATTTCCCATGGGCACTAAGTGCATTACAGGTGGTAGCAGTGAGATTCTCTGGACCTGTGCTGGTTCCTGTCTAACTCCCATGCTCCTGTGGGTGTTAACCATGTTTCAAGCAAGTCCAGCTCCAGCTTCCACGACTTATCCCAGAGTCTGGAGTAGGGGTGAACCTGTAGCTGTGAGCAGCTGGACGCAGTTGTACCTGTTCATATTCAGGGGTCAATGATTCATCCACAGTTTCAACACTAAACTCTCTCACTTGTTCAGCAAGAAAGGAAACTTGCTGTTGCATCAACAAAGGATTAAGTTCTGACGTCTGGAGCTTGCTTGACCCTCTGTCCACAGCCCGAGCCGAGGGGGGCTGCGGCAGAGGAAGGAGCAGGTTACGCTTTTAACCACAGTGTGAAAACACCGAGGGGGGGAGGAGGAGCAGGTGAGGGGTCAGCAGGCAGGGGAGCAGGGCCAGGGGGAGTGTGGACGTTCTCCTGGCGCGTGATGGGAGCCTCGTGCTGGGCCCCCCGAGTCAGGAGGTTTGTCCCAGTGCGGGGCTCCAGTCCAGCCTCGCGCTGCCCTGGGCGGACACGTGGCAAGAGCTGTTGCAGGTGCTCCACTGGCTGGGCTGCTACTGGTGTCACTGGGAGCCTGGCCCAGGCCAGGGCGTCCAGGGGAAGCGGGCTGGGGCAGGAGGAGCTCCTGGGTGAAGTGGGGTCACCGTAACAAGCGTGATGCTGTTAAGTGCTCACACACCTGAAACACGGGGGAGTTGGGTGGGCTGGAGAACCCCGTGTTCCTGCTGGGATGGTCGATGTGCTGCCTTGCAGGGTGCAAGAGAATCTGGTGGGAGATGAGAAGCAGTGTGGTTTCCCTTGTGCAAAGGTGTCTTACAGGCACCTCTGCAGTACTTCCCTGCTCTGGGGATGTTAAGGTATATTCCCATGTCATGCCACCGTTTATCTTCTCCCCACTGGGATGCTCAGCAATTTTCATTCCCCAAGGGATTGCCACCATGAAAAGCCAGCTGAGCTTTGGCTTCGAGGGCAGTGCTTTGGATCTGGAGACCAAGAAATCTTGACTTGAAGCCGGAATAACGGAGAACCACAGATAGGATGTGGCTTCTTGCATTACTGTGTCCTTTTGAGTGACACCCCGTGGTGTGGGAGAACGGGGTCTTCCAGTGAAACCTGCACCCAGGTGACATCTCTCCCTGGAGAAAAAAAATCCTTTGAGAAAAATCATCCATTAATTCTGGTCTTGCTTACTGCAGATGGACTCGAGCATTCACCTCTGCAATTAAAGCTCTGGCTGGCTTTCCCCCTGCAGTGGTTGTTCTCCAGATCTCTGTGTGAGTCCCTTCACAGAGGGACAGTTACAGGGCTGGCACCGGTGCTGATGTGATGTTAATTGCCCTTGTTTTTATTTGATGCCCTTTGTAGGTTGCAGTTGTGGGCAGAGAGACTTGCATAAGTGCTTTTTTTTTTTCTGCAGCCTCCTTTCTCTCACAGAGAGAAATGAAATTTCTGCTTTGCGGGTGGGTCTGCCAAGACCTCAGGGTGTGCTCCCCAAACCCTGGCTGGAACAGTGGCCTGTGTGTATGTGTGTGTCACATCAAGCAGCAGAAGGAAATGCTCTGTGTGGAGCCTTCTCTGCACGAGGGTCTGTGTGTCACCTCCTGCTCTGGCTGCTGCTGAAATGGCTGAATATTTGTCCCGTGAGTGGAAGTGCCTGCGACCCACCCCCCTGCTTGGAGGGCTGTGAATGATTGCAAAGAGCTGGAGCAGGGCAGGAGGGGCTGGAGGAACTGTTCTGCTGGAAGGGGCATGGGGGGCACTTTTAATGAGCTGTGCAAAGAGCTTGTTCCAACAGCTTCTAATGAACTCAATGTCTACGGCCTCTTGGCTTGGTAACAGCTGAGGCAGCCAAATCTGCTAAAAGGAGCTCTGAGCAGGCAAACAGGGCCCAGTGCCTGCAGAGAACAGACTTGACTTCCTTGGTGGCCATAGAGCAATTTAAAATTAACTTGGATGTAATGAGTCCTCCTGGTCCGAACAAGGAGACTTTAGGAACTTGCAGAAGAAAAACGACATTGCTTGCAGTGGCAAAGCAGAGACTGTGAAGGTTGGCTCTGTGGGGAGAGGGGGGATGCAAATGTAGGCAGGTGGGAGTGGGGTGTCCTGCGAGGTGGAGTGCAACTGGATCCTGGGCTGGAGAGCACAGCAGGAGCACAGGCAGGCAGGGAGCAGCGGAGGGAGCAGCCTGGCAGGAGAGCAAAGCGATTGCAGCCTGATTACTCATTTCATACGCAGAGCCCACCTCTGCTAGGTATGTGCTTGGTAAATTAGAAAGGCCAGTTTCACGAGACTGGTGTCAATGGTCAGCTAGGAGCTGAGAGGAAGAACTTCAGTGGGGAAAGAGGGGTGATAACTGAAAGTAGGGTGACTGCCTTTTGTCACACACACTGTGGTCTTAATTTGGAGAGGGGGCAAGCCTGGAGAAGAGCGAGGCAGCACAGGGAGGATGTGATAGCAGCAATGAACTTGAGTGGGGGGAAAGGGAAGTGGACGAGAGTCAACATTAATTGGATGCTAAGGCCCACAGAAAACATGCCTGACTCCTGCATGCATCTGCAAGGGTTGGACTCAGCGATCATAAGGGTCTTTTCCAACCTCAACGATTCTATAATTCTGTGGAAAGGAAGAACTGAGGAAGAACACCCTGGACAGGGTGCTGAGGGTGATGAGCATAATGGTGTGGTACAAAGGAATCCAACCCATGGTAATCTGTTGCCAGATGCAGACAAAGCCATATTCAGTGAATCATTTCTGTTCTGTACTCAGCAAAGCACTCGCAGTGCAGTTCTTCAGCATGAGAAGTTGACTGACAAATATCTTTACTCTGACAGTGGCCAAGGAGAAGCTGAAGTACATATGTCCAACCTTGGCTGCTTTAAAATCTACAGGTTTAAGCAGCTTTATACAATAATTTCCTAAGAGCTGCCTGAAGAGGTTCTGTGAACCAATAAACCAGGTGCATTTCTACAAGCCCCAGGGTGGATGGAGATCAGCAGGAATGCTGACCGTGGCTGATTTGTAGCTCCCTGTTGGGAAGTAGGCTCCAAAAAGATATCATATCTGAACATGTGTAATATGTTCAATGTGGAATTAGTTGAACACAGCAACTGGACTGGCTGATACTTGCTGGGTTAGTGACTTTTTGCCACACACTCAATTTGCCCACTTTATCTGAGCTTCAGCTGTCTTGCTTTAAAATAGAGAACGTCCATCTTTTTTTTTCTTTTTTTTCAACTAAAAAATACTTCAAAAAGTTCAAATAAAAGTGCTCAATAAGCTTTATGTCATTTTAGCAGAGCAAAACGGGTTCCCTGAAGCTCCTGCAGCTTGTGGCCTTGTGTTACTGACCCCTTTCTAGCCACTCTGGAAGTAGCCAGCGGGAGCAAGACGACTCCACTGGCAGGAAGGCTGGCAAACAGGGCTTGGGTCAGGTCCAGATTACATAATGTTTACAGGAGCTGGCTTAGCAGAGCTCAGATTCAGACATCCATCCCACTGGAGAGCAGGCAGTGGGAGCGAGGGGGCCACTAGCACAGTCCCAGCTGTGACTTGAGAACACTCGCTGATCTTCACACCAGGTAGTTCTGGACGTTGCAGGTAGAATGGTCCTTTGTCGTAGTGGTGGGACCAAAGAGCTTGAAAAGCTCAGATTCATCCCAACTCTCTCTTGGTATTGGGATCAAGGTCCTGGAGAAGCCTGTTTTGCCATTCCTTAGCCTGGTCAGGGGGTGCTGGAGGAGCCTGGGTTGGGGGTGCTCAGGCTGTGATGACCCACAGGGTCCCTTTGAGTGCTGAGCCTGCCTGGTGGGGCAGCTGTGGGCACTGGGTCTGATGGAGAATGAGGTCCAGCTCAGGGTCCTGCTGGCTGGCAGAGGGCCTGGTGGCTCATGCATGTCCCAGTGCTACGTCTGGGTGAGCCAGCTCTCCTTATCTGACCTACATTCCCTGCCAGAGCCTCCTTTCCCTGGGCACCTCACCTGCCCTTCCCAGAGACCTCCAGCTCTCCTGCCCACAGGAGATCACCTCGTGGCTTGGCTTCCTCTGCCACGGCTCAGCAGGTCCCCCAGTGTGGAAAATCCCCAGTGCTTTCAGCGTAGCAAAGACAGGATCTGTGTCTGGAGGGGCAGAGGTCAATCCCAAGGCTCTTGAGCAACAGGAAGAGGGGCTGCTGCAGTCCAGAGCCATCAGCACTTCCCTGGCAATCATTAAATGGTTATAAAATTAACCCGATCACAAGACCTATTTTAAAGTTCGTGTGAGCCACCATTTTTTTCCCCCCCCCTGAACTTTGATAAACTACCTGTTGAAAAAAAATAAATAAATACAAAGCTGCAAGGAGAAGAGAAAAGTAGAAGGAGCATGAGAGGGATGCAGCTGAGGGATGGAAGGATGAAGATGGTGTGGGGGTGATGGTGCCACTCGCAGCAGCAGCTGCAGCTCAGCTCATCCTGGGGCAGCCATGCCCAAATCCCTAAAGGACCATTCTCCTGACATTTGTGAGCATTTACTGTCTGTGTATTAAACAAACACGCTGGGCACTGGGGGCATTAATTAATTTACATCTGCAAAATATCTTGAAAGCAAAAAACTTTTGCTTTCTTATAGAGTTTGGTTCAATTTTATTCATGGCTTTACTTTTTTTGTTGGGTTTTTTTTGGTTTCGGGAGTGCTGGGTCCAAATCAAAGTTATTCTGAAGTTCATTTTTTGTTTGACAGTGGTCCTATTTTAAATGAAAAATTTGTTTTTTGTATATGCAATTTTTCATCTTTTAGAGCAGAATAAATTGGAGAAACAGCACTGCAACTTTCTTCAAGTGGTCTGCTGATGATCCATACAGGTTTCAGAAATTCAGGGAAACCCCCCTAATAGCAGTTCTTTCTACCCTGTTTCAGTTTTACCCCTTGGCTTTTGATCTTCCAGTGAAGATGAGTTATTAGATTCATGCTGTGTGCCATTGCAGTGTTTTTCAGAACATTTTCCATACACTAGAGAATAAATATCCATTATTTATAATTAGTTTTCTAAATTGTACTTCATGTATTTCATAATGTCAATTAAAGCCTTCACTGATATGCTCTTGTATCAAGGTGTTGTTAAATATTTTCAATTGCCCTACTCCTGTAAGAAGCAAAGTGTCTTTATTTTGAAGTTGACTTTGGTGCAACTTTCCTTCCAGGAAACGGAAGAATATTTTGCCAGTGGGAGAAAAAAAACCTCTTTATACAGCCCTTAGAGGGAAAGGGCTTAATGAGAGCAAAGCTATTTCTTTGGTGTATAAAAAGAGCCAGAGTAAAGAGGAATTATCAGTTGCCACAGGGATGAAATCACTAATCTAGTGTGCAAACACTTTAAAACATGATCTCTTATTTTTGTAAAGTTTAGCTCTGCCAGGTTTGCTGCTCTGGCCCTGCTGGTTTGGGGGAAGTGAAGCTGCCAGGGCTGAGCTGGGAACCTGAGGATTTTACTTCACACTCTCCAATGTGTCATTTGAAAGCAGTTTTGAAATCTTTAGATCTTGGGAACTTTGTGTGAAGCTTTGGCACCACCATAATTAATGTATGAAGGGGGGAAAAAAAATCAAGTTACACTCAGTTCATGTTTCCATGTGCACTGAAGGGCTGGAGCAGTACTGGCACAACCACTTGTAAATGCAAAGCCCGAGTGCTGAAAGCAGATGACAGATTCTGTCATTTTGGCCACTTTTCACACCCTGACTGCAGATGTATTGAAGGATAAATCTGTGTTGGTTTTGACCCCGTTCAGCCCAGGCCTGCAGTGGGCTGTTCACGGGTGGTCAGGCAGGTGGTGGCTGTGCTGCACCCTCAAAACTCAGCTCCCCACAGTCCCCAGCCATGGCAGGGAGCAGAGCCATCTCCTCCCTCGCAGAAGCCCAGACCCGGTCCAGGGCAGGAAGGTCCCAGCAGAGGGACAGAGGTGCCTTTGAGTAGCAATTCAACCTGCTCAGCAAGCTGGCAAAGAGATAAAATAAATAGTTCTGTGGCTTCCCAATGATTCCCAGCCGTTATTTATAGCCCTGAGGGCACTCTGCCACACGGGCACTGACAATATCCCTGTTCAGCCCCAGCTCCGTGCTGGGCTCTCCCCTCCTGGATTTGGGGCCGCTCCCCGGATTTCCTTCCCCGGCTTGTTATTTTGGGCAATGGCTTGGGTCGAGTCTGTGCCTCCCAGGCTGGGTTCCTGCTGTGGCCTGGGGGCACTGGGGCGCTGCCAGCCTTGGCCCAGGCCAGGCAGGGTGAGCTCCGTGCCCGCAGGAAGCGCTGTGACACCGCGGCGCTTGATTTACCGATTTCCCTACCGCAGGGACCGGGATGGGTTGCCATGGAAGGGTTTCTCACACATCTCCTGGGAGGCTCTGATCCAAGAGGAGGAACCTTTCTGTGTGCTGCCTGTTGCAGATGTAGGGCAACATGCATCTCTCAGGGCTGTTTGTCCAGAGCAGGGTCTGTGGAGCGCACAGACATTAAATGGGGCAGATCCTGGGACACCAAAGGATGTCATCAGCAGTGCCTGCTGGGGATTAGACCTCAGCTCAGCATGGCTCTCCGGAGCCTCCTTGGTCGATGCTCCCATGCAATGCCACCCTGCAGCACAGGGGAAGCTCAGGCAATCAAGGAGGATTTGATTTTTGCTGTGATCTCAGGGAGTCAGTGCAAGTCCTGAATGCCTACACAATGCAGGGGGGAAGATATACCTGATGGAAATGATTTGGGAGGAATACTACATCCTTGAAGGAGTAACTGGTGCATTCTGCTTGTCTGAGTATCTCTAAGTGACGAGGTGCCTCTGTAATGCCACGCCTCACTTTCCCTCCCCTCCTTTTGCAGGAAGGAAGATGTCTCTACGTGATCCTGCTGATGGCCCTGTACTGGTGCACGGAGGCGCTGCCCTTGGCTGTGACGGCTCTGCTGCCCATCGTCCTCTTTCCCTTCCTGGGGATCCTCCCATCTAACAAAGTTTGCCCACAATACTTTTTAGACACCAATTTCCTCTTCCTTAGTGGCTTAATCATGGCCTCAGCCATTGAGGAGTGGAATTTACACCGCAGGATTGCGCTCCGGGTCCTCATGCTGGTGGGAGTCCAGCCAGCCAGGTGACTACGGGAGCAGGGGGATCTCCATGAGGGATGGGAGCTGCAGGGGCTCAGCAAGCTGCTCTGGTGGTCCCTGATGCAAGTTCTCCCACACTGGGGGCTGTCCACACTCCTCTTTTCTTGCTCAGCCTTTGCTCAGAGGCCGTGGAGCACAGGGAGAGTCGTTTGGTTCAGTCCCATGTTTGTGCTCTGACAGCCTCAGAAGTCCTTTTTGCTGCTGGTTTTGTCATCCCTGCTCATGAGCTTTTCCTCCTATAGCTGTAATGTGCTAGAGAACTTGCCAAACTGCAGATGTTCAGCTTTTCCTTTTTTTTTTCCTCTCTTCCAGACTAATTTTAGGCATGATGTTGACAACGTCTTTCCTGTCCATGTGGTTAAGTAATACTGCCTCCACTGCTATGATGCTTCCAATTGCAAATGCAATTTTAAAAAGCCTCTTTGGGGACAAAGACACATCTAAGGACATGAACAGGGACAATGAAGAAAACCAAGGTAATTGAGACAGGGCAGTAGTATAAGCCAGCTGAGGTCTGCCCTGTTGCCATCAAATATTCCCCATTTTATCGACCTCACTGGCACAAGTACCACGTTCCTGAACTTGCAGCTCAGTCTCGGTGCTGGTCCCACTTTTGTGCACACTATTCCCACAGTGGAGGAGTATTGGCATAAAACTCCCTTTTATCCTGCCCCTTCCTCATGTCCTGCAGGAGGAAATACTTATGGGTTGCCTGGAAGACCGAGGAGAGGCGATGCCCAGCCCAGCTGCTCCACAACCCTGCTGCTGGCACGGGTTAAACGCAGCTCTGTGGCACGGTGCTGGTGGGATTTGTAGGGGTGCATTGCTGAGGGGATGGCTGGGGCCAGGGAGGGCTCTAGGTAGGGCAGATGATGGTTAAATACCTGTTTATTAAGTTCTTTGTGGTTTTTCCATCTTGATGCTACTCTTTGGTGTCGTTCCCGAGCAGGCCGTGGACAGGCTGGGTTAAGGGTATGTGGTCAGGTAAGGGCTTCCTCCTGCCATTTACCAGAAGTTTGGGCTTCTGGCAGACAGTGCTGAGAAATAGCAAGCCACAAATGAAGTCCTGAAGTCCCCTTGGCATCTATTGCTGATAGCTGGAGCAATAGTCACAGCTTCTCCTTGCACTAATTAGTAATTCATCTGCCTCTGTGATTTAAAAGCAATGGCTTTTTGGTTCCCACTGAGTCCTGAGGCAAATAAATGAGCCCCCAGAAGAAGATTCAAACATGCACACTCTAATAAAGTTATAATTAATCATTCATCATTAACTTCTAGCAATCATGAGATGCTTGCACTCCAGGTTGCTTTATCACATGTACTTTATGAATTTTTGACTGTTCACATCTATTAAAATCAACCCCACTGACTCTCTTGCTCTGATTTCCCGTTCTGTAGAAGCATTGTGTTTTGTCAGTCTGCTTTTAACCCTCTTGACCCCAACCTCAGAAATTATTTGACTGTGTAGTTGTGACTGTAAATACAGTAGAGTTTGGGAACACATAAAAGGAAGATGCCCCCTTGTCCCAGACAATGTCAAGCACAGAATTAACATCCTTGACTCACAACACTTGCAGTGGTGAGAGAAGCCAGAAAAGGCAAAGGCAGAGGCGCTCAGGCAGAAGAATGAATAAAGTGATGCTTTGCAATTATCATGGCATGGCGTGATGATGTATCTCTTTTTTAAGGTAGAGACTTTTGAAAGTCAGGGATGTTGCAGTTAGGTTGTTGGTTTTTTTCCACAAACCTTGTTGAGTGTAAGGAACAAGCATTTGCAAAAATGATATACTTGTTTCATAGTTACACTAAGTTTTTATAATCCAACTGAATTATAATCTGTGTTCCAAAAAAGACATTTGCTCAGAGGGCTTTATGTGGAAGACAACTTGTACAATGGCATATGATAAGGTCAGTTTGCAAATCAGCTTGGTTTCATAACCCTGTAGTAGAGTCCAGGTGATTAAAAAATACTTGTGTGGCTAAATATAATAATTAAAAATATATTAAAGAATATGTGTCGTGTAAAAGCATTTGATTTGCTGAAGAAATCTCAACGAGGATATGAAACCAGCTTTGTGTAGGGCTTTGCTTTTGCACACAGTGCCAGAATTAGAGTGATCTCTGATCAGTTGGTCACACTTTTTTCCTGAGGAATCTCAAGCTTCCAGTCACTTATAGCTGTGCTCAACCATGTTACAGACCAGAAAATCTTAAACTGACTGTAATGTTTCATTTTGGCACGATTGGCCACTGATGCAAGAGGGCAGTTGGTGAGCTTGGGTGGCTGAAGTCACCGCTGGTTTTGTTTGGTTGAAGCAGGGTTATAAACTGAACACCAACAGGGTTTTTTTTTTCAGCTTCTCTAGTTTTCCTTTTCGAGGTGGGTTATAGATTCCCTGCAGTTCTCTCTGACATCTCCAGTGATGGTTTTTGACAAGCTGGAGAGTTGCTGTGCTGGTGAGCCTGACCTGTCTCCTGCTTCTGCCCACTAACCCACCACTGGCAATATTTCATTTCTCTGAGCGCCTTAAACACCTCCAGGTATAAATCACAAGAAAATATTTCCATCCTTTTTTTTTTGCCTTCATAGAGAATATCTTCTTCAAACTCAACACAAACTTCAGTCATTGTTTGAGGTGTAACTGAGCCACAGACCTGGAAACAATGTCTTTGAAGGGGCAGGTGGGAAATGTGCATTTTTTGGCACTGCTGCCTGGTTTGACTGCCTAACCCAGCCTGTGCTGCCACAGCCATGGTACTGCTGCCTGCACCCCTTGGTGGGTGGAAATATTTCTTCTCAGGTCTTTTCAACTTTTTGGAAACAATAAATATGTCATTAAACTAAAACTACCTACAAAGAGCGTTTCTGCCTCTAAGGTATACGAGGTCTTTTGGTGAAATGGCCACAAGAATCCTCATTCTGCTCTGTGAGAGGTGTGAACAGCCAGGTCCAACCTCAGTTATCCTTGACCTCTTCTGACTTACAGACTTGTAATCATTTTCAATTCCTTTTTACAAGTTTCAGAGGAAAAGCTCTGCAGTTGGCCTGGCTTTTCTTTGCATGGTTACCTTTGCTAACCTTCCTTGAGAGAGAACTCACAGATGGTCCTGGCCAGATGGGATGGGAGTTTGGGCTTAGCAGGGAAAAGAAAAAAAGAATTGAAAAACGTTGAGGTAGAATGAAATATGTCTTTGCAGAGCCAAGACCAGGCTTGAGTTGGGACTGGAGTGTAAGAGGCCTTGGACTAAATTCACTGGGGGATCAACAGTCAACCACGGGTTAATGTTCATCCTTCTAATTACATCCCTCCATCATGGCAAGGTTGGGATGAAAGCTCAGCATGTGTGTGCCCAAGCCACTGCAAAAACTCTTGGTTCACTGAGCTGGACCGAGCTCGGTGTCTGTGGCACACGCGTGAGTGAGTCCGGACACTTTGACCGCTGGCTGCTCTCCACGCCCTGCTTTGGGTCTCTGGGGCATGTTGGGTAGAAGAGGGTGGTGTTTCAGGCTGAGCAAGGGTGCAAGGAAATCTGGGGACTGCTGGGGTGGCGGTACCAGGGACACAGACCTCGGGTGCCAAAAACACGCAGGGAGCGCAAGGAAAGGCAGCAGAGCCAGTGGTGATGGGGAAGAGTCACCTGGGCTGGAGATGGATAGACCTTGTGCTCCAGTCCTGAGAGAAACATGGAAAATGGGGGTTGATAGCATACCTCCCAACCTCAGGAGGTCAAGCCACGACTGCAAATGCCATGAGCCCTAATGTCAGGTCTGGTATCAGAGAATGATTGTATTGCATTTCCAGCTTTTGATTTCTGAGTTCTCCCATGTGTATCTGTGGTCGAGTGGTGTGCAACTCCCAGTTTACTGCCAGAGGGCATTGGGGATACTGGTCAAAATATCCCTTTCCTCAAGGGCTCCTGAGTCCTGCTTGTGTTCCCCATGGTTGGCAACAAGGAGGACAGTGAGGCAGAGCCCATGTGAAGTATCAGGAGGGTCCCTGGGAACTGGGTATGCAACACAGTCCCCTCAGGTGGCCCTGAACTTGTGCCAGGGGCTGGCTCAGCCTGGAGACTCTGTCATTTGTGGAGGGAATGATGGGCTTGGAATGGTCCTTGCTGCTGGGGTGGCTTTTGGAGGACCTGGTACAAAACCTAACCCCCAAATGTGTCTCACTCTTGTCTTTAAAGAGGGAATCACAGCTTTGTAGATGTCTGCAGGGGGCAAAATTCTCATCCCATGGGAATGAAGCTCAGTGATAGGAAGTGCTCCAGCTGTACCTTGGGGAACCTGCCTTACAGACACATCAGGCCCAACAGTGTTTCTTCCTAAGAATGACTTACGGTTAATCCTCCCCCCAAAAAACCACCTCAAAGCCATGACTTGACAAGGGATGCCCTGAAACTCCTGGCTGTGTTAGAAGATCCCAAAGCCTGACCTGTGGCAGAAGTAGTAAAGGGACCAAGTGCCTGTGGGTGTTGGAGGAGGAGCTGGTGCTGTGGTGGGACTGGAGCACTGGCAGGAGGAGATGGGCTCGTTCATCCCTGCCAGGTGCTCCCGACCCCATTCCCTTGGTGTGAGCTCACCCTTTGTTTGCACAGCCCCTCCTCTAAAATGGTAGTTGTTTCCTCTGTCCCTCTTGTTTGGTTCAAAGAGAATTTTCTAGATGCTTTGAACTGTTTTAAAGTCCTCATCTTTCTTTTTCAGCATCTTTACAGCAGAATAAACTTTACACTGTACCAACTGAGATGCAGTTTCTGGCAAGTACTGAGGAGTAAGTTAACTATAAAGTTTGTATTAGAGAGTTGAGAGAGAATTATCCCCTGAGCTAGACCGAGCTTTAGGAATTTGAAATTCAATCATTGCAATGTTTTGATTACACAGAACATCCCAGTCACTAGCAGCCTGATGACAGAAACCCTCCTCTGTGTGTCCATCATCCCTCTGCATGTCCAAATCGTTGCAGAGGGGTTTTTTTCCCACCCACTCTGAAATCGTAGCCAGAGGTGTCTCCTGCTGGGGATTTCTTTGCCGTGGTTTTCTCAGGAACATCAAATGTCTGAAGTTTATGATGTAGCCCCCCCCACTCCCAGGATTTACACACTGGTGATGGTCCTGCTTTGCTAACAAGGATGGGAAGAAAGCATCTTTTCAGGAACAGGGGGACAGATGTTTCTTTCCTCTCGGTGCTATCAGATGTTAGGTGTTTGTCCTTTTGGCAGTCCTGTGGACTTTATGTTCGGGGTTCCAAGTTGCTGAGGGCAAGGCACGGGCACCCTCAGCTCCTCCAGATGGGTGCTGAGGGTGCTCTGCCCTCTGCAAGGCTGCCAGTCCCGTGTGGGGGTTCACCGAGCAGACCCTTCTGCAGCTCAGGTGTCCTTGGGGACAGTGTTAGCTTGGATTTCTAAAAACTGGGAATTTTCCTTCTGTCAAGGCTCTGAAGTGGTTGCGCTGTATTTAAACTAGGGCTTTCATCGGATTCTCTTTTGGACTATTTTAAAGCAAAGATCTGTCGGAGGAGAAGGAGATTTCCAGCGATGCTCTCTCAGACTTAAAGAAAGAGGAGGAATACAAAACAAATATATGGAAAGGTTTCCTCATCTCAATCCCATATGCAGCCAGCATCGGAGGGACAGCAACGCTGACGGGAACTGCGCCAAACCTCATCCTCCTGGGGCAGCTGAAGAGGTATGGGAGGCTGTCCTGGGGAGCTTTGTTAAAATCCTGGAAGACAGAGGCACGTTCTTCATTCCCTTCTGTGCTGAGAGCTGGTTTGGAAAAGTCGTGCTGTTCCAGAACATTTTGGAAAACGAAAGCAGAGAGTGGTTTCACCAGCCTTAGCTGTAATAAGCAGGTTTCCAGTGTAGCCAGGCGGGCTGTCAGCCAAACCAGAGCATATGTGGAGCTTCACCTCACTGATGCTCTTAACCTCACTGAATTTAATGGGACTTGACTCCATGCTGCAATTAACCTGCTAACTGTTTTGATGAAGCAGGCTGGGCAGTGTTTGGTGAGCAATTATAGCTGCTGCTGTATGGTAGAGAGAAAAATAATGAACCCACTACTTCTGGCCTGTTTTCTTAGTGGTAAAAGATTCCTCCTTTGTGCACAGGAGGAGGGATTTGTGCCAGCCTAAGTGCCCACAGATAGTTGTTAACTTTGCTGGCCCGTATAAATAAGTACCTGCAGCCTCTCCTGGGCACCTGCAGCATCTCTGTGAGGTTCATGTTCAGGCTCTTCAGCAGTTGCTGCAGCAGGGTTTAATCCTGGCTGCTCAGCAGTAGGAAAGCACTGGCCATCTGGAGACAGATTTGCAGATCTTTCCTCGCAGGCTGGCACAGCGGGGCTGGGTGAGCTGGGGGTGGCAGGGTCTCCTGGGGGGTTGTCCCAGCACGATGCTCCCACATCTCCTGGTGCCCAGGTAACTCCTGAGGCACACATAGCAACAGATTTTAAACGCACACTGGCAGGTTTGTGGGATATTTCGCTGCTGATTTCAGATGTTTGCTTACCCATGAATGCAAGGGTTGCTTTCCCTTCTTACATTAACTTGATTTTTCCCGTTTGCTTAGTTATTTTCCAGAATGTGATGTGGTGAACTTTGGTTCTTGGTTTATGTTTGCATTTCCTTTAATGCTGATTTTTCTTCTCATGGGATGGCTATGGATCTCCATCCTGTATGGAGGAATTAACCTGAGGTATGTTGATATGCACTATACATGTATGTAGCCTGGTTATACTGGCATTGTGAAACACATGTTCATCCTGATTCCCATCCTAAATCTCCTGATACCATCCAGGAGCACCTCCTGGAATGAGGGGACTTTATAATTAACTCCAGCATGCTCATCCTATGAGTCATTTACTTTTAAAAAGCTGATATGCAATATGAAAATTTTAAAGGTATCTCATAATTACGTTTACTTTATCCAACTGAAATACATTCGTGTACAGAGTATGTATTATATTCATTTACTTAAACATACAATTTCTAAAGGTTGTTTTACTGCCTGACCTGGGTCTGTGGAGGTCAGTGGAAGACTTTCACTAGGAGAAAGAAAAAGCAGGATCTAGCTTGGAAGACCAGGAAGAAATCTTGGCTCCACTTAAATAAGGAAAAATCTCCTTGAACACACAAGAGCCAGGATTTGTTCCTGGGGCAGGAACTTGTGTTTGGAACAGATTACTTCACAACAGGGCTGAATTTTACAACAACATGTTAATCTGTGACTGAGAATAACATGTTTTTCCAGTAAATCTTAGCTGGTTACATGCAACCCCTGGTGTACAGGACTTAAAACAGTTGCAGCATTTACCCCTCCACACTCTCATGTGTGATAGGAACAGAGACAGAGCCTTGCTTCCTCCTTGGGCCATCCAGAATTTGTAACATTTAGAGAAGTCTGTAATTGTTGGTTTGAGTTTCAGATGCAGATGGTGGAGAGAGGCTGGGGGGGAGGAGAGAAGAGGACAGGTGTCCAAATATTTACACTGTCTAAGACGTAGGGGGGAAAAAAAAAAAAATCAGTGGGAAAGTTTTAATCCAGAAGATGCCAAAGGCCAGTTCTTAACTTGCTGGTGGGGCTTCTCAGGAGTCTCTCTGTGCTGCCATGGGGTGCTGGGCTGGCTCAGACCTGCTCTGCTCCACATCATGTGCCCAGGCTTGTGGAGCCTGAATTCCCGTGCCCTGTGGTGAGGGTTGGGGCATTATCCTGCCACAGCCCCCCACCATCAGGTGAGGGAAGAGGCCAGAGCCCCTGGTGGGATGCAGAGCTGCTCTTGGGCTCGGGGAACGTGATGCTTGGTGTTTTGTTTGGCCGGTCCCTGTCAGCGCAGAGCTGGCTGTACTGGGATAGCTGGGCCAGCGTTCCCCGGGGGCAGGGCACGTGGAAGAGACACTGCAAAGCTCCACAAGTCCAGCCAAGGCTCCACAGGAGCCTGTTGGGATGCTGTGGCTGTGAGGACTGGGAGACAGTGGCTGGACTCTCCCTGTGGTGTCTGTGAGCAGCACAGTCCAGGCAGGAGGACGCTGCTCCAGCACCGGTTTGGCTTTGCTTGAATCCCAAAGGCTTTAAAAGGCTCAGGTATGGGCTGGCTGAGCTGAGGCTGCTCTTAATAACACCCCACCCTCCCCCCCTAAAAAAAATGAGACATGGAAGGGCAGGTATAGCTACTTGAGGTGCAGGAGCTTCTGAATGATCATCCATACAGGAGCTCCAGCCACGATATCCCTTTGAAGCAGTAAATGGATTAAGGAGGGGCAGGCACCAACAGGGATGGGCAGATGCATGTGATGCAGAAAATTGGGTTTGTAGGTTTAATCGAGGTCACAGGCAGAGTTAGAAAGCAGGTTCAGTGTCAGGGGGATGTGATGGGAGATGCAGTGCTAGGTATGAATGTATCTTTTGTATGCACACGCTGCAAAGGAGCAAACAGTGTGTGCAGTGAGGGCAGCCGGGCTAAGAGGCTTAGCCAGGAGCACATTAACATTCCCTGCCACTTAGAAATTCCTCACATTTTTGCTGGTCCTCAGCAGCATCCTGGGATCACCCAGGAAATTACAAGTGACTTGAGAAATGAAGGGAGAGATTCATTTTCCCTGTCACCCTACTCCTGGTCATTGTGCCCGAGTAGGTAACTGCTAGAGACGAGGAATGTTGGGGCTTTCATCTGGCAATCACAGCCCAGGCTGGAGGAAACAGTTCAGAACATAAATGAGAGGAAACATCCTCACCTCTGCAGGGTCTCCTTTTTATGAATGCAAAGACAAAGGGTGTATAAAATCCTTATTGCCTTTATCTCACCAGAGACCTTCACTGTCAGTCTTCATAATCTGCACACAAACTGAGCTGCCAGGGATGTGCAGCTCTTTGGACCTTGCAGAGCAGGCCCTGGAGGAGCACACTGAGGTGTGGATGTGCTGCAGTAGAAAATGCAGCATTTACTGTGTCACATGTGTCAGGGGTATGTAAAAATGTGACTGTGTTTCTTGGCAGGGGCTGGAAAACAAAAAAGTCAAATATAAGAGTGGATGCAGAAGCCCGAGCCAAGGAAGTGATAAAGGAGGACTATCAGAAACTGGGTCCAACAAAGTGAGTTGCAAAGTTGGGATGGAAATGAGGAAGAAACTGAGCGGGTTTGGAAACGTCCTGTCTTGAGGGTGGAGGACTGGGGAGAATGGGGTTTTTTAGAAGAAAATTATACCTGTGTTTCCATTCAGCCCATTTGTGACCTGCTGGAGTTTGCTTCTTGCATCCTGCAGCCCCTCCACCTTCGCCAACCTGAATATTTGCTAATAGCAGCTTGCACTCAAATCTTCTCGAGAACAACGTTCTTGTTATGGAGGGAATTCATGCTGGGTTGTTTAATTACTGCTTGTGACTTTTCTACTCCAGGAGCAAACCCAGTCCTGAGCATTAGTCTGAATTTCCAAGGTTTGTGCCTATCTGTCCTACAAAGCAGGAGGGATTTGCTCCAAAGGCTGGTGAATCACATGATGGATGTGAATCGTATGGATTGTGGATATATTTTAAGAAATCTAAAATTATATGGGAAGAAGTCACATCCATGTCACAGAATACTTTATTTTTTCCTGAATAATTCCTTCAACTGTGTTAGCTGGGTGAAGACAGGAAACGCTGGTGCAAATTGCAATGATGGGGATCATAGTTTGGAGAAAAGCACCAGCAGAAGGAAACATGAGTTTTAGACTTAGGAGAAATGCCAAAAAGGGGGGGGAAGCAGGAAAAGTTGAGTATCTAGAAATCAGCCCCTGGATATGTCCAAGCATCCACTGACGTTCTGGTCAGCCAGGGCTAGTGAAGGTTGTTGGAACTGTAGGTTTTATCCTTAAATGATCTGTGTTTCCCCATCTGTAAAATAATATTTTCATACTCAGGGCAATACTGTGAAGATTCAGCAACGTTTGTGTCGTGCTATTGACACTGTAATTATTGCTGTTGTGTGGAACACGGAGTGGCTCTTCAAAGATGATTGCCTGTGCCTGTGCTGTAAATGAAAGAAATTGGTTTATTTGTTCCACTCAGTACATTATCGAGCAGCCTGCAAAATGTCTCTGAAAGAATCAAAGTCCCACTTTGAGATCCAGGAGTGGGAAAGTCCATTAAGCTGAGCTCTTATCAATTTGATTAGCAGCCCCATAACTAAAAATCAGCACAAGCTGCCTCTTCCCAATGGCTGATATGCCCCTCCCTGTGCTCAGAGAGATTTTAAACATCTATTCCAATGTTTCACTGTGGTTGTTTTCAGAAAACCAACTTCCCTTCTCACCCAACCTTCTTCAGCTGGAGTTGGATACTTGTCCTAGCTTGGATCCACCCCTTTAGCACTTCAGCATTTTAACCTCATTTCTTTTCGTTTCAGGTTTGCAGAACAGGCAATTTTCTTCTTCTTCTGCATGTTTGCCATCATGCTGTTCTCCAGGGATCCCAAATTCATTCCAGGTTGGGCAAGCTTGTTTGCACCAGGGTAAGACTTAATGTCCATTCCGCTGTCCCATTTTTCAACAGCATTTCCAAGTCACTGGGATTCCTGGGTTTCTGATTGTGCTGTTTAACCCTGTTACTCAGGATTCCTGCAATAAATTAAGCTGAGCATCAAGTGGCAGAGCCAGCTTTGTTTCTGTCTCCCAGAGGAGGTACCTGAAGCCAGTGGGAAGTTGGGATGTGCCTGTCTGAGGCCATCCCTCGAGATTAGTGTTGGGAACGCTGTTTGTAGGTGCATTTGCAATGAAATACTGAATTCTTTATGCAATACACCGATTTCACTGGAGGTCTGGAGGCTGAAAAGAGATAGCAGGGGCTGACCCCTGGGTGATGTCCTGCTTGTTTGGCAAGCTCGTGTCCCCTGGGACATCCAGTGTCTCCTGGGACATCCATGCCGCGGGAAGATGAATGGATACAGCAGCTGGGGAATGCTAAAGCTCAGAGAAGGTGTTGCTATTTCTTAACAGAAGAAACTTTCACGGTTTTGTGGTTTTGTCAAATAAAAATCCAGTTTAGTAAATGACTCCTGAGTATAACAAAGTAGCTATAGCCTTTTCCCTCACCAGTTAGCAGCTCCTTGCAATGTGACACACACTTTTAAGCTCTTTACTGGGTGGAGTCTGAGAGTTTGAGCATTTTGCAAAAAGCTCATATAAATAAGGTGTTTGGGCTCTGCCTCTGTCCCTCCCTGTAGTGAACCAAGGAAACTTGTCCTCACGACTCTACAGTCAGAACAGTCAGACCATCAGTGTGGTGGGAATTAGATCTTGGTTTTTGCTTTTGTCGGGCAGCTTTTGTGGGGGTTTCAGGGCCCATCATAGAAACGCAGCTCAACATGGAATTAAAAAAAAAAAAAAAGAAAAGAACTGTGAACAAGGAGCATTGTTCAAACCTGATGGAAATTTGTAATCTTCTTTGGTAAATCCCTGTTCTCGTAAAGTTTGTAATTCTACAGGCCTGTGCCTCTTACATGTGTCTCTGCTGCTTTTGGACAGGTTTATCTCGGATGCGGTTACAGGAATCACCATTGTGATTATCCTGTTCTTCTTCCCTTCCCAAAAACCCTCCTTCAGGTGGTGGTTTGACATGAAAGGTGAGCAGGAGACCCCTCTGGGCAGGGCCTCTGTGCTTGCCTGTGTCCTGGCAGGGCAGGCATGGAGCAGGAGCCAGGATAATCCCCCCTTGGAGCTGCACCAGTCTGCAGCAGCAGCACTGGCTGTCTGGAACTGTGCCCCTTGAAGGTGCCATTTGATCCCACAGAGGCTTTTTTTTCTGAAGTACCAGCAGGGGTTTAGCAGTCATTTCCCTGCTGCTGCTGATGCCACGGTGGGGTGAAGCGAACTGAACTCAGTTTTGATCGACTGCAGCAGACCTGACTCTGGAACAGAGGTTTGGTGGCTGACTCCCCAAAAGCTCCTGTCCTTTGAGAGGAGCATGAACCTCTGAGAGGGCAGAGCTGGGCTGGTTGTCCATACTCAGAAATAGGTGCCCTTCCTCACTTCCCAGAATGATTTAGAATTTAAACTCCTAAAGCCCAAACTCCAGTAGGTTTTGGTACCAGGAGCCTTTTGAGATCTTAGATCTGTTCCCTTGAGTTGCAACGAGATAAAAATTTTAATTCATGACCCTCTTGGAATAAGAGATGGTCTTAATGTGGAGAAGCAGCTGATGAAGGCCCTTTGTGGATGATGGAGCATTGCCTGGGGTCTGTGGGAACAAAATACCGTCTGCTCTGAGTCATGCACATTTGTTGTGTTGTCCATACACAGGAAGATGTTTAATCAGGCCTCCTGTGGATAAAATATGTGCCCTTGTTCAACAGAAAATTACAGTCCCATTAGTGCATCCTTCCATATGACAGAGCTCACTTCATCACATATTAAGAGATGGCCTTCAGGGGAGATGAACTCTCTGCTATAAAAACTCATGGACTGCTGAACGACAAGTGGAAAATTAATAACATCCTTGTAATTCAAATGGCAGAAAATGTCCTCCCTCCACGGGCTCCCATCTGTTGAAGACAATGTTTATGTTACGGGGAGAAAATTAGCCTGATATTAAATGTTCCCTCAAGAAAACTTAAATGCTAGAATTTTTTTTCCTTTTTTTTTCTATTTTTTTTTTTTAAAGATATGATACTATGTAGAATGATCTTTTAGTTGTTTAACTTGAGAGGCTCCATATATATATTTTATCAGCACCTCATGGTTAGTGAGCTCCAGTGCCACTGTCAAGCTCGTGATGTCATGCTGTCAGCATCAGGTGACTGATGCTCTGCTGTGGGTGGGTGTGACATGGGGCTCTTCTCTTTGTCCAGCACCAAACACAGAGACACAGCCCTTGCTGACCTGGAGAAAGGCCCAAGAGACCGTGCCCTGGAACATCATCCTGCTGCTTGGAGGAGGCTTTGCCATGGCCAAGGGCTGTGAGGTGAGACCCACCACAGGTGCCACGTGGAAATTGTCCTGCCCAGCAGGGTGGGATTTTATCATGGGGTCACTCGGGGTTCTCTGGGCTCTGGGAAACTTGTGTCAGTGGAGTCACCCCACTCAAAGGGCACGTTTCTCAGCCCCAAGTGACAACAATACACAGCAGGTAACTAAGGAGGTTACAACTCCTTGCACGCTGCTTGCTGTTGGACCCTGCACAGAGGGGCTCGTGAGGGGCCTGGTTGTCATTTGTGGTTCTAGGAGAGGACCAGGGGTGCAGGAGGACAGCTCTCCTTTTTGCTGTGCCCTCCTGCAGGAGTCTGGATTGTCAGTGTGGATTGGAGGCCGCCTGCACCCCTTGGAGGGGGTGCCCCCGCCCGTGGCCGTCATCCTCATCACGGTTGTCATCGCCTTGTTCACGGAGTTCGCCAGCAACACCGCCACGATTATCATCTTCCTGCCTGTCTTGGCAGAGCTGGTAAGGTCACCCCATGGCAAGCCCAGCTGTTCCTCTGGTCCCCCCCACCTTCTGTGCTGGGTGGTTCTGTCCCTGGGCTTCAGGCACTTTGAAATCCTTGGGAGGAACAAAGCAAGTGCCTGGAGCACAACCTGGACACTGAAGGACAAGAATCCTTCAAACTGTTGGAGAGATACATGATTATTTATCAGAGTGTGGGACAAGGCTCCCTATGGTGCACTGGCTGTTTGCATCCTTTGATTCATCTGCCTGTGATTCCGAATCCCCAGGGTGCCATTTCTCTTCCTTTCTGGTTTTCCAGGCCATTCGTCTGAAAGTAAATCCCCTCTATTTAATGATACCAGGAACTATAGGATGCTCCTATGCATTCATGCTGCCAGTCTCTACACCTCCTAACTCAATTGCATTTTCTTCTGGACATTTGATGGTCAAGGATATGGTAAGTTCTTTTTAGATACAGAAAATGCTGAAAACAATCAGCCTGAGTGTTTAAAAAAAGGGATTTTCTGGGTTGTTAAAAGGTCAATGTGTAGTGAAGTGAGAAGACAGAAGCCTGATATTGTTCTCGTCGATGTTTGAAGGCACAGGAATATGGAAGGTGCTTGTATGAAGTTTGTCCCAGTGAAATTTGGAGCCCCCATGGTTCCAAATGGTGACTAAAGTGGTCTTGAATGTGCTCAGCCTCTCCCAAACCCCGCTCCTGTCCATCCAGTCTCAGCAGCTCAACTTTCGTAGGTTTCTGGATGCAGGAAAAGTTCCCCAGCTCAGTGAAATAAAGCTTTTGAGTAAAATTAGGCTTAGTCCCAGTTCCTGCTCACATTCCTGAGGCTGAACAGATGTTAATGTTTTTGATGGATCAAAGCTGGGCAAGCATCTGCAGGATGGCCTTTGCGGCTTAAAGCCTGCTTAAGATGTTGCTAATATTAACAGCCATTAAGCCTCCCATTTTTATTGTGTTTACATTCAAATAGCTTCATGCTTCACATGCTGTGGATGTCCAGTCTAAACTCAACAGTTGTCTTTGTATTTCTTTTGTAGGCAAGAACTGGGTTGCTCATGAACCTTATGGGAGTTCTGCTCCTTAGCTTGGCTATGAACACATGGGCCAAGAGCATCTTCCAGCTGGGGACCTTCCCTGCTTGGGCCAACATCCACGCAGAAAATGCCACCTCACTTGTGACAGCTGTAGAAAATGTCACTTTAAGTGCACTAAATAAAATATGAACAAAGCCACCCCCGGGGAAGGACTCACTCACTTAGGACTGGGGCACTGGAATCGTCAGAGTATGCACAGGAGGAAAAGCCACGTGGCTGCTCACGCTGTGTGGGACCTTCTGGTTTAATTTTATTTTTAGAAACACTGGCCAGTGTCACAACATCCATTTGTTATTTTCTCTGGAGATCTTTCCCCGCCTTCTGCAGGTACAAATCTGACTCTCCCAGAGTCCTTCTGTCGTAGGTGGTTGTTAACTGGACAACCCGTAAGCACGGGAGCATCTTTGGGTAGTTGCCTGTCCCCCCCATGAGAGCTGGAGAGCTTTGCTGCTCTGGCTCCTGAGACCCTACCTCGTTTTGGAGAGCAGCCCTGGGAACAGGGTGGAGGCAACTGGATTATTTCTGCACAGCCCAGTGTGAGTGAGTGTGTCAGGGGGTGGCCGGGGGGACGGCGGCGTGGCCGGGTGCTTCTGGCAGGATGGAAAGGATGGGGCCTCGTTGCCGTCTCATGAGTGATTCCCTCATGGGAGGATGAAGACTCCCTGTGTGTGTGAAGGGAGGATTCAGGAGGCGTGCTGGTAGGACTCGGTGCGTTGCTCCATGCTTTGGAAACAGGAAGGCACCAGTTTGTTTCCAAACGTGGTCAGTGGTTTTGAAAAGCTGGGACGGCGAGTGCTGCCCGGTTCTGTGCACTGAGAACACAGACAGGGGTTTGGGACCAAATTAAATTCTGACATAACTCTGGACGTTGGTGGTGTTTCACCATCGGTAAACGTGGCCAGTCTTAGGTTTGTGAGATTGACTCGCTCACAAATGGCCCGCTGAGTCACAGGTCAGTGGACAAGTTGCATTGGAATATTATTGACATTTCTGAAAAATAGGCTTTGATTCTTAACGTCTTTTTAAATCAGATTGCTTGGGTACTTTCAATGAAAGCATTGCAAATTGACTGTGATTTTAATCACCATTTTATCCGATTCTTTTTATTTTATTTTCTGTAAGAATCTAAAATACTGCATTTAAACGATCAGCCGTTGAAATAGATGATTGAATGATAAACAGTCTGGTTCTTGGTTTAGGGTAGGTGAGTGACTGGATCCCTGTGCTGGGACAGGTTTCTCTGATGATGTAAACTGGTGGAGCTGACAAGATGAACTGGCCCAGAGTAGGGATCCAGTGCATCCCCCCTGCTCCTGTGCTGCTGATACCCCCAGGGCCAGGTGGGAGAGCTGGCAGGGTGATGCTCACCAGCCACAGCTGCTGCTGCAGGGGGTTACCCCATTGGGATTACCCTATGGGGGTCACCCTGGGGTCAAGTGGCAGGTGACGACTTGAGGGGTGTTGAACCAAAATGGCCAAAACCAATTCAACATGGAATTTTGATCAATCGAGTTTAAAAAAAAAAAAAATCCTCGATGTTCAACGAAATCTTTTTTAATGATTGTGGAAAACGTAAAATAAAGCACGTTTGTTAGCACACTGCATCGTCCTGTTTGCTCTGTAGATTGAGGGGAGAAAAGCAAAGCCCGAATCTCCCCCTGCCTCAACTCCACCCCTGATAGGGGCTGGAGGGAGAAGCAGGAGAGGAGTGAGGTTTTCCTCCTTGTCTGAGCAAGACAGAGCCCTGTCAGGCAGCTGAGGAGTGGGAAAGCCCCTTGCCCAGCGTCTCGGGGCTGCTCTGCCAAGGAGGCTTTGGTGGGCACACCCCTGGCTGGGCTGGCCTGGGGCACTGCCCTTCTGCATGGGTGATGCTCATCAAGCCTTAGTGAAGATGGGCTGAGTGGGGAAGGGAAAACTGCCCCTGCAGCCTGGGGGACAGACGGTGAGGGCCTTGGGATCCTTTAATTCTGAGGATCAAAGGGTAACACCCAGTGCAGCTCCGTGGCACACCTTGGGGTCACAGGTTTACTTATGGTCCCAGCTCTGGCTTGGGGCATCCTTATCAAATCCAGGAGGATGGTTTCTTACTTGGGCTGGAAAGCAGAACTGGGACCACAGAGTTTGAGCAGAAGTCTCCAGAAATCACTCCCAGAGCCTGGCGTGTCTGTGGCTCTGCCTGTGCAGAGGTCAGAAGGGGTTTCACAACTGCAGCCAGGGCAGTTTTATGGTCTCTGTGCCAACAAGAGAAACTGAGGCAGAGAGGGGACCAGTGACTAACCCAAAGTCCACAACAGGGCCTTAGCAGACCTGGGAGAGGTGTGAGAAGCACCTGGATTCTAAACCTCTTTGGTCAAAGACCTGTGTGCCAGCTCTGCCAGCAGCCTCTGTTTCCCAGGGCTCCCCAGAGGATCTGGTTAAAAGCCTGTGAACAACAGCATTACCTAATTCTGCTCTTTCATATCCAGGCATCTGTGAGAGCAGAACTAGTCTGGTATGCCTGAGTTTGAATTTAGGTTGTGGTTTTTTTCTAACAGAGATTTTAAGATTTAGGGTTTCTGGGGTTCAAAGGTGAACAGGGCTGCATGAACAATTTCTGATTCCATTTGCTGCTGCTAGTACTAAGATTTGCCAAAAGCAGCAGTCGACCCCATTAGTCTTGAAGGATCTGTGATACTAGCAGAGATATGAAAATTCCCAGGAAAGGGTATTTCAAGTGCTGCACTAACCTTCTATAACTTTGACTGTGTTATTTTAAAGGAACTCTGCCTGCCTATGCACCATTTCTCTAGGAATGTAAAAATCCAACAACCATCACAAAAGCCATTCACATTAGCAGCCTCCTTGTGAATTTTAATTAACAGGAAATGCCACTCGCACATTGAAATTCAACATCCAGAATATCTCTGCTTCACTCCTTTGATGTTCCCCGTCCAATCCTGGACCAACAATCCACACGTTCTCCTGAGACATTCGGAGGAAAATCATTTTGGTTTATTTACAGTAGGAAAGCGTTTTGTAGTAGTGTCTTTTATCCCAGAAGCATTCAAGGCACTTTACAAGCCGTTCACACAGAAGAGCTGCTCTGTGGGTCCTTGCAGCAGGGAAGGATTCCGGGGCTGTGCTCAGCTGATCTGCACCCAGCAGGGATGCTGGAAGCTCAGGAGAGAAAGGGAAAGATTCAAAAAACAAACGAAAGCCCGACATGACAGGGGGAATTCAGCTGTTGCAGGTTAGAAAGCCTTAGTTCCCTTATCACATTTACTCCTCATGAGTCACTGGAAGGGTATTGCTGGGATTTTTCAATAGTTCTGTAGAAGACTTGATGTGGCTCTGTGTTACTGTAAGTTGTTAATTTGCATGTGATCTCAACAAGCAAAGATCCACCACTAATTGGCTAATCTTTCCCACACCCTCAATTTCTTGAATGGGCACAATAACATGATCCACAGGTGCTGATGATATTGCCATGGAGAAATACCTTCAGCCTTAGTGATTCTGTTTTAGCCCTCCATTTCTCTTCTTTACCCAGTCATTTTCTTAAGCTGTATAGTTCCTTTGCCCCACACTCTACCTGGGATTCAGCTGCTCCTTTATGATACACCTTCTCCCATCACTGTCATCACAGACTGAACTTGCAAGTGCCTTGGCACAGACCCACTGCAGTCTGCAAAGCAGGACTGGGTTTAAACTTGGTTTAAACCTCTGTCCTGGGTTTTTTTAAACCTCAGTGCCCATCCCTGGTCTGGGTAGAGCCAGGCTCTGCTTCCTGGCTACGATGCCAATAAAACCCTCTGATGTCTCAGAGTTCCAGCGAGATGCCTGCAGGCATGTGGGGCTCTGTCTTCTCCTTTAGTGCTAAAAAGTCAAAATCAGTGATGTTAGAAACTTTAGAGGTTGAGCTCCACAGAGACTGGAACTTGTCAGGAAAGCAAAGTCCCTTTCCACCACCTGGGAGTCGCACAGGGCAAGAAAAGGCACCTCAGAGCATTTCTCCTAATCTTCCTCAGTTTTCCTCAAAACTCTCCCACCCACAGACAGACTTCTTTAGTTTCTGAGTGGGAATGAGCCAGACCTCGAGGCCCTTGAGCAGAGTGTGACCACAAGATGTCACAGTTGCTTCGTGGCGCTGTGCGGTCCTGCCCTGCCCTTTCCCGGGGATCCCTCTGAACACACCACCTACTACAGAGGATCAGTTCTGGCTGTAAAATAGAAGATACCCTACATCTTGCCTGTGCTGTAGTGCAGCCTGCAGGGATCAATTCTGCTTTGAGGCAGAGGGGGAAAAAAATCTAACTCTGACTTTGCAAACAAACTGACTTTGCCAGAGTTCCTGCTCAGTTTCCCCACAGACTTCAGGTGCCTTTGCCAGATGATGTAGCAGACTCAGAAAAACACTCACCACAATGCTGTGGACTTGAGGGTTTTTTGTTCTTCATAGCCTATTGCTAAACGTTTATTTTTTTTTTTTTTTGCTGCCCCAGAAAGCTGCCTGTGTAGGCTGGACAGGGTCCCAGGGGCTGATGTGAATATCAGCTTGCTCTGAAGCAGAGCGAGAAGGAAGTTTAGTCTTAGGAGAAGCCGATGAGCCTTGCAGGATCCAGCCATGGGCCTTTTGGGCCAGTCCCTTATAGTTGAATTCAAGCCCTAATTCATGGCCCGTGCAAGCAATTGCTATGGCTGCTCCAAACAAACAGCACTTTCTTTCCCGCCCGCCTGGCTGGTGCCTCTTCCCGGCTGGAGCCGGTCAGGAGTTTCTCATCCGGCCCCCGTGCTCCAGGGCACCAGGAAGAAAGCTTTGCTCCACCAGCCACAGGGGGAAAAAACAAAACTTTTTAACTCCAAAGCAGAGTTGTTGAGAGGAGCAGCAGGGGCAGAAGGGGCCTTGCAGAGGAGGCAGGCGGGGGTTCGCTCGGCCTCTCGCTCTCGTTATTCCTCGTCCTCCGGTGCCGCTGCCGTGGGGTCTGGCCACGGCCCCTGGGGAAGGTGCTGCTCTCCCAGCTCTCTCTGCAGGGCAGAGCCCCACGTGCTTTGTCCCCAGGGGTGGCCTGACCTCCAGCCCTTTGCCCTTTCCCGCCCAGGGGAGCATGAGAACATCCCGGGGGTCTGGCGGTTCCCAGCTCGGCACGGCACAGCCGCTC